GGTCCGTTTGGGTGATCATCAGGCAAGGCCACAAGAAGCACACCAGGTTGTTTTAAGTCCTGACGTCTTGTGTGAAGTCGTTCTTGTCACGCGTGCACATTGGGGGAATCTGTTCCAAACGAGATCTACGAAACGACATGCTGAGGGGCTACTTAAGGGAGGTTCTAAGCGCAGACCGCGAACCGCCAAGTAATTGCTGCATCACACACCTAAGGCCCTACCGCTGCAGAACATGATTCCCGAAACAAACCCTAGACCCGAAGCCCGAACCCTAAACCCCCACACCCCATCCCTAAATTCCAAACTCTACCCTCCTGCCCGCTGAGATGCACTCAGCGAGGAGGTCGTGGCCGATGAGGCAGCGGCGGTCGTCCAGCTAGCAAACCCCAAATTGGAGAGCCCCTAAACCCCGAAACCCCGAAACCCGTAAACCCTGAACCCCAAAGGCCTGTGTAGCGGTGCGATCGGCCAAACCTCCACTCGTGGGAGGCCTCACCTGTGTTAGTCTTCCACTGCTCTGCAGGAGCGCGAAAGAGAAGCTCAGGAGGCCCCCGCTGTCATGACAATTCCTTAGTCAGTGTCGTCGCAGCGGAAGTGGTTTTCGTGAAAGTTTTTTCGTTATCGATGTCGTGATGGACGTCCTGATAAAGGCGGTGTTCGTGAAGGTTCTTCGTGTCTTCGTGAAGGTTCTTCGTTATTGATGTCCTGATGGATGGCAGGTAGTCTTCGTGAAGGTTCTTTGTTCTCCTTGATGCATGGATGAATGTCGTGATGGATGTCGTGATGGATGGCACGTGGTCTCCATGAAGGCTCTTCGTTATCGTTGATGCGTGAGTGGGATGTCGCGATGGTTTTCGTGATGGATGATGCACGCATGGATGGCGTGATGCGAGGTTTACCTGCGGCCCCCGAAGCTTCTCAAGCCGCGGGAGCGGTTCGCTACGTGGTAGCTCGGGGCCCCAGAGCGATCTGTGCACAACCAAGTAGTGGTTATCATTGGTTAATCATTAGTTGTTATTCTGTTATTGTTACTATTGTCATTGTTTTGATTATTGTTGTTTTTTGTTGGTCTCCACATGCTCTCAGCGCTACCCCAACGGATCCACAGGCAGATCTTGCGAGGGTCCTCAGAAGGCTTTTTAAAGGTTCCCAGGGGGTCCAACACACGTTCGACCCAATTAACCCTGAATTGCTCCATGGGCAAACTTCAGCATGGTGCGAGCCGTGTGTTTGCAAATGGGGGGGGCTGCGCCCCCCCCAACCCCCCCGCTGCCTCTTGTTGAAACCCATCGTACGAGCATTGTGTTTGCAAATGGGGGGGGGGCTGCGCCCCCTCCAACCCCCCCGCTGTTTATTTTTAGCCAGCCCGCGCCTCCGGAGCAAAAAAAAACCGGCCCGGCCTCCACAGCAAAAAAACAACGCGCCCGGCCTCCACAGCAAAAAACAAAACGCGGCTGCGCCCCCCCCAGCCCCCCCGCTGTTTGTTTTTAGACGTGCAAGCGTGCTGCAAAACATATGAATCTTGTTGAAGCCGGTCGTGCGAGCCGTGTGTTTGCAAATGGGGGGGACTGCGCCCCCCCCAACCCCGCCGCTGCCTTCTGTTTTTCTCTTCAAAGTCGTGCAGAAGCGTGCTTCAAAGTTGAGTATGATTGTGTTTGCAAATGGGGGGGGGGGGCTGTGCCCCCCCCCCCAACACCCCCCCCACTGTTTTTGGCCGCGCAAGCATGCTTCAAAGCACATGACCCATATGAACCTTGTTGAAACCCATCGTACATGCACCCCCCCCAACCCCTCTGCTTTTTTTGGTTTTAAAGCCGTACAAAGCGTGCTTCAAAGTATGTGAATCTTGTTGAAACCCATCGTACGAGCATTGTGTTTGCAAATGGGGGGGGCTGCGCCCCCCCCAACCCCCCCGCTTTTTTTTTGCCGTGCAAGCGTGCTGCAAAACGTTTGAATCTTGTTGAAACCTGTCGTGCGAGCCGTGTGTTTGCAAATGGGGGGGGCTGCGCCCCCCCCCAACACCCCCGCTGCCTCTTGTTGAAACCCATCGTACGAGCATTGTGTTTGCAAATGGGGGGGGCTGCGCCCCCCCCCAACCCTCCCGCTTTTTTTAGCCTTGCAAGCGTGCTGCAAAACATTTGAATCTTGTTGAAACCCGTCGTGCGAGCCGTGTGTTTGCAAATGGGGGGGGCTGCGGCCCCCCAACCCCCCCGCTGCCTCTTGTTGAAACCCATCGTACGAGCATTGTGTTTGGGTATGGGGGGGGGGGCAGTGCGCCCCCCCCAACCCTCCCCCTTTTTTTAGCCGTGCAAGCGTGCTGCAAAACATTTGAATCTTGTTGAAACCCGTCGTGCGAGCCGTGTGTTTGCAAATGGGGGGGGCTGCGGCCCCCCCAACCCCCCCGCTGCCTCTTGTTGAAACCCATCGTACGAGCATTGTGTTTGGGTATGGGGGGGGGGGCTGTGCGCCCCCCCCAACCCCCCCGCTGTTTATTTCACGGCTAAGCGTGCTGCAAAAAAAGCCTAGACCCTAAACCCTGAACCCTAGAACCCAAAACCCTTAAACCCTTGAACCCTAAACCCTACACCCTAAACCCCTAAACCCTGAGCCCTGAACCCTGAACCCTGAACCCTAAACCCTAAACCCTAAACCCTACCCGAAACCAGCCCTAAACCTTGCAAAGCGTGCTTCAAGCCAAAAAACGCGCAAGGCCTCCACAGCAAAAAAACGAAACGTGCAAGGCCTCCACAGCAAAAACAAATGTGCAAGGCCTCCACAGCACAGAAAAAAAACGCAAGGCCTCCACAGCAAAAAGACGCGCAAGGCCTCCACAGCAAAAAAAAAAAAACGCGCAAGGCCTCCACAACAAAACAAAAACGCACCAAGCTCCACAGCAAAAACAAACCACAAAGCCCCTACAGCAAAAAAACCCACAAAGCCCCTACAGCAAAAAAAAACGCGCAAGGCCTCCGCAGCAAAAAAATCGCGCAAGGCCTCCACAGCAAAAAAAAGCAGAAGGCCTCCACAACAAAAAAAACGCGCAAGGCCTCCACAGCAAAAAAAAGAAGCCCTGACATCATCGGAGGGGCTTTCTTGGGCTCAATTTCAAACCTTGATTTCGCCGGATTCTTGGGCCCAACTTGAAACCCAGATTTTCGCTGGAGGGGCCTTCTTCGGCTTAATTTCAATAATGGGAGGGGCCTTCTTGGGCTCAACTTGCAACCCTGAGTGCGCCGGAGGGGGCCTTCTTCAACTTGAAACCCTGATTTTTTCGGAGGGTCATGTTCTTGGAGTGCCCACGTCGCATAGAACTTCCCGTTGAAGGTCGCAATTGAATAGCTTTGTTATAGATGCTAATTCTGAAATGGCGGAGCAGGTTTAGGGTTTAGGCTTTAGGGTTTAGGGTTTAGGGGTTAGGGTTCAGGGGTTAGGCGTTAGGGTTTAGGGTTTAGGGCTAAGGCGTCAAAGGCATCACTCCAGCTTTTCGGATTAAGGACTTGGAGTCGTTGCTCAGTACAACTCTGCATTAGCAGCTGCAATTTTTCTTCGGGGACTTCCAGCCCTCCATGAGTCCCCACGAGAGATACCTGCGAGCTTTGCATCATCCTATGTCGGCTAGGAGGGGCTCTGGGACTTGGGGACTGCCTTGTAGTACACGCACGTCCAAACGACGCACGGGTCCACATGAACTCCAGGCTGCGAAGACTAAGGCTGAGGTTTGAGGCGAAGACTGAAGTTTGAGCGCTTTGCAGAATATATGTAGTAGCTGCCATAGCAACCCAGACCCGCAGACCCCTGATCCTGACGTGCGTTGAAGTCCCTTGCTGTGCAACCCGCCAGCTTCACCCCCCAAAGCCTTCCAACTCAGAGCCCCTGATCTTCATCCCAAGGCCCCCCCCCTCAAGCCGAACCCCTCTTGTGGCACCTTTGGCCCAGTATTTCAGCTCGCACAGTGTTCCCCGTCCCTCTGCGCTGGTCGTTCCGTTTCTGGGCCATGATGCGCAAGGCGTCGGGCAGATCGGGGAATTTCTGTAACTTTCCGCGATCTTTTTTCGTCGCAGTTGCTGTTGCAACTCGAAGTTCGCAGTTTTTATAGCTGACCAGAAACGATTACCCCAACATGTCCAGGTGCTTTGCAGGAGCCTGTCAACGCCCATCCAGCCGCCCGCTCAGTCCTGGTGCGAAGTTGGCTCCTGCCGGCCTGGAATTGCAGTAGCTCAGATGAGACAAGCGCGGACAACCGCTTGCAACGTAATCGCCTCTGTCAGAGTCATTCAGCAAATTCAGCCCATACATGCTTGCCTTGAGCTTCGTCTGCGGGGCCCCCGGGGTCGAGGCGCCGTGCCTTCTCTCAGAGCGCCATCGTCAGCACGCTCCAGTCCAAGATCAAGGCGCGGGTGTTGGAAGCTTGGAAGCTAGACCGGGGAGGACCTTGAGCCACATTTGGAGTCCAGAGTCTCCTGGCCCTAAACGTTAAAGGCCCTGAGTCCTAAATCCGAAACCCTAAGGCCCTAAACCCTAAACCCTAGACCTTAAACCCTAAACCCCAAACCCCAGAAGGTGCATAGGCTAGGACATGAGGCTAGCGTGCAAAGGGCGTAGCACAAGAGCCGGAGCAAAGGCGCTGGCGGACAAGAAGACGCCGCAGTTCCAGGCGCTTAGGAAGGCCTGGGCTCTGCGTTCAGGATTAGGGTTTCGGGCTTAGGGGTTCAGGGTTAGGGTTTCAAGGCAAAAGTTGAGAGGGATTTGGGGTGTAGGGTTATTGGATATGGGAGGTGCATCAGAACTACGCCGGCCTCTTGTTGGCACCTTCAACGATCAGGAAAGGATTGTTCTGCAGATCTCAAAACGTATCGACCCCAGAGATCGGAGGGGGTTGATATCAGGCTTCCCGTCCCTTCCCTGGATCCAGAATCTCTGTCCTAGAAGATTGCGCATACGGTAGTCTTTGCCTCTAGTCCGTTTGCTGCAGAGCTGGCTTCCAATGCGCAGTTTGCGCAATGTTGAAGCACGCGGTTCGCAGGAACATGGAGACAAGTCCCTGGGAGACGCGACGGTTGGACAGCCCGCCCCCTCAGCAAAGCAGCCGACGTTTAGTGCAGAAGCAGGGCCCAGCCAAGAGGGGAGACTTTGAGAAGGCACCAGGCGCTTACACTTTGCATTGGTTGTGGGTTGAAGAGATACGAGGCTTGGCGTGAAGCTCCTGTTGAGGCAGAGGTTTAGGGGGCTTAGGGTGTTGGTTTAGGGGTCTGCGCCCTGTCTAGCTATCTGCGGGACTGCCTTGTATCGCGGCTGCCATCGTTTGGCCAGGGACTTAGTCTGAACAGCCCTCAAACTGCCTTGAGGAGGGAGTACAGCAAAGATATCACATCCCCAGGTCTACAAGTCACCAAGGCCTCGTGCAAGCATGAGCTAAAAGCTCCACAGGCACCAGAAGCCAAGGTGCATTGGTGGCATGCGAGGCATCAAGTGCATGATCAGCGAGACCTCCCTGCTGGACAGAGATCGGAGTTTGACGGGAGAGCTCCGACGCCCCGAAATTTGGAATCGGCACGTGCATCTTGCAGACAAAAGAGCTCCTCAGAGTTTGACCAGGTTTAGGATGATCCTCTAGGGCCCGAGGGGTTGTGCCCTTCCATGTGGAGGACCCGATGGAGGGCATCCGCTACCGGGGCCGCACGCTGCAGGACTTTTTTAAAAGGGCACGGCCTCCAACAGCCGCAGGAAGCCAGAGCTGACCCCTGAAATGTCTCCTCCGGACCAGGAGTGCATGGATCAGCTGCCCAAGGCCCCCGGCAGCAAGATCGGCCTGCCCGAGGCAAGGGATGGTGCCCACGGGTTGGGTAGGGTTGCGTAGGGTGACCTGGACTGGAGAGGTGTACTTTCGGAGAGTGCATCTTGGGCTTTCAGGCAGAGAGACGGTGATAAGCAAGCTGTATCCTGCAACGGGGGCTCCAGCAATTTTCATCAACACCTCCTTGCAGCACAGTAGCAACTGATCCAGCACTTATGGTAGCTGCGTCGGCGTGATGATGTGCTCCCGCAGCAGCACGCCAAGCATTGGTTCCTCCTCTGCCCTAGAGCGCCATCTGTGCGCACATCCGAGAGCTGATGCCTCAAACCGTGAGGCGTCTTTCTGGCTTTTGCTGACAGACGAAATCCCCACAGATGCCGAAGTCAAGGCTCGGAATTCAGGGTGAGTTCGTTACGCGTGAGGAAGAACAAGACCATGGGGGGGGGGGGAGGGACCCCTTAAGGACCCCCATCACTCAGTTCACTTTAGGGCATGTATGGGAGGTGTTCTTTGGGGGTGGGGGTTCTCAGTTTCAGGCCCTCAACGAAGAGCTCCACAAGCGGTCTGCGCTCCCTGCCGACGTGGTCAAGCTGATTGACAGCATTCCCAAGGATGGGGAAGATGGGGAATGTGCTACCCTACTCTAATATACAAACGTATTTCTATATTCCACTACAAGACAACGTAATATGCGACATTGTCTGTGAGCGGCTCAAAGTTCTAGACGCTTTTTTGCTACTATGTCACTATGTCATGCATATTAATTGGCTATATTGTATATTTGTACATGTACTATACAATGCTACACTTCACGATGTCCTAGTGTACCAAAGTATGTAGTCCCATAATGGAACATGCCAGAAGCTGGCATACACGGCATCATATCACGTAACAGAACAAAATCTAGCACAACATACGAACATAGAGCAGGACAGAACAGAAGACAACAGAATATAACAAGCTACAAATGAATGCAAGATGATGTACATAAGCTGTTATTGTATGCAACAAAAACAACTTTTGCTTGCGCTTGGTAGCTAGGGGTTTATGACAATGTGCGGCAACGGTTTTTGTTAAGGGCTGACGAGGACAGGCTGCGGGATCCCAGCAGAACCTAAGGTTCGGAATTGGGACCTCCTCAAAAAGATCGACTCCCTCAAGTCAATCCGCAACTGTGGCAGGACACCCACCCCATGACACAGCTTGCCATGGGGCTGCTGGCATTGCAGCCGACAAGCGAGTTTGGCAAGGCTCGTGAGAGCTCGTCGTGAGGCTATCTTCTTCGTAAGCAGCAGGACTTCTGGACTCGACTCCTTTTTCAAGTGTTCCCTTTAACTACGCCGGTAGACAACGCACCCTCCTGCGCCTCAAGGCCGCTTGCTGCTCATTTTCTCCAATCTATTCCTTCTCTCCTCGGTGCTGAGAAGCATGATACAATTGTCGTCTATCATAGTATATCGTAGTACAGTCTACTGGTAGTATCATATGGAGTGCTACAGTATACTAAGGGAGAGTTTAGTATTTGTGGTCGTACATTTCTGGTATATGGTAGTGTGTTGTCGTATATTATGGTATGCCTCCGTACATTGTCGCATTTTTGCGTAGTTATGGCATACCATGATAACACAATGCATTGGGGACAGCAAATGTTTGGCCAGTTACATGCTACAGTGGCTTATCGTCGGTTCTCTTGTGTGTTTCGGACATTACCGTCATATGATCGTACATTGACGTACATGCTTTTGTTCAGTATTCTAGTATACCATGGGGGGTTGATTTGGATAGCCCACTTGGTCAAGCCAAAGCCTGTGTGATCCAGGAATCACCCTGGACACTCAGTTCAGGGGTTTAGGGTTTAGGGGTTTAGGGGTTTAGGGGTTTAGGGGTTTAGGGGTTTAGGGGTTTAGGGGTTTAGGGGTTTAGGGGTTTAGGGGTTTAGAGGTTTAGGGTTTAGGGTTTAGGGCTAGAGTCATGTTCAGCCCTCTTCCCAAACCTGACAGCCATGTGGCAGGCCTACCGGTCAGGCACACTGAAGAAGTCTGAGTACTGGCCGGGAGCCCGCGGACAAGGGCCACCCTTGCCAAACCTTCGAAGCCCCAAGCCCTGAACCCTAACCCTGAACCCTGAATCCCTAAACCCGGCAACCCTAAACCCTGAACCCCAAAATTTCCTCGGGAGTCTGGAACCTCCGGGTTTGAGGTTTCAGGTTTGGGAAGGATCCCGAAACCGAATCCCTGCCGAAGGAATGACATTCACTTCTACCGCTAGTACTGCGACTGCGGTTTCTACCACCACTACTGCTGCTGCTGCTGCTGTTGCTGTTGCTGTTGCCGTTGCTGTTGCTGTTATCTGCGAATTACTACTACGATTGTCAGGTTATAGTATTGTGGTTGTTATTGCTGATCTCCAGCGCAAGACGGCTGGGGCTCAGGCAGGTCACCTTGGAGGACGCCTCGCACCGAGCAGTGAACCAGTGGTTGAGGGTTCAGGGCTTCGGGTTCAGGAGTTTTCGGGTAGTGGTCGCACATGCCAGGGGAGTGGGAGCCCTGGGCTGTGTTTTCCTGGGGCGCCCTTTTTGGGGTGGTAAGGAAAAGGCCCAACCTCATATGGGGGTTTACGAAAATACGGGACCCCTATATAGAGCCCCATATAGGAGGAATCCCTTGTAATAAGGACCCCGATAAGGTACCCCTAATTTCGGAAACCCTCATATGGTGGCAAGGGAGCACGGCAGCAAGGCAAGGGCTACAGAGTTCTCGCGTCTACAAAGCAGGACCTGACCCTGCACACCAGCAGACATGCTGTAACAAAAAAATCGGTAGCCTGCTGTACAGTTACACGCTTTGATAGAGAGGCAACGCGTTTTGTTCTCTCTCCCAAGTCGCGGTAAAGCCCGGGCTCGGATGCCTGAGGCCCTGTCCCTGGTGGCCAAAGTCCCCATCCTTGCTGCGCGCATCTTTTGCAACGTCTTCAAGGATGGCAAGCACGCCCCGGTCCCAGCTTGGTGTTGAAAGGACCGTGAGAACCCCTACTTGGAGGTTCATAGTGCTTATGAACCAAGTATACCTGTACTTATACCTGTACTTATAACTGTACTTATAGCTGTACTTATAACCATATTAGGGCACTTAAGGGGCTTACAAGTGAGTTAATATGTACCATGAAGCTCCAAGCTCACGCCATCTCAAGCTCCAAGATCCCCAGCGACCCATCCCTGGACTGGGCGGGCAACTACGCGAACATGCTGGGCCTGGCACCTGGGATGACTTACTGTTGGTTAGCAGGGAATGAGGGAATGAAGGCCCTATATAATCCCTTGAACGGTATATATGGGGCCCTAATTCCCTCGTTCCCTGCTAACCAACAACAGGCTGAAGGTGGTTTTGGTCCTTTGGGCCTTTCTGGTAAGATTTTCAGTGCGTGCGATGTATCCTGCTTCTTGCTTCAGTCCCACCACTGAGACCATCCTTCTGAGACCAGGTTTATCTTTGCTGTTCTTTGGCCTCTTCAGACCTGTCGAGAAGGTGGTGAATTTGCAATGTAACATGCGGTCCCAGGTGTGAACGACAGCGACAAGTTCAAAGACATCACTCGTCTGTACCTGATGCTCCATGCCGACCATGAGGCCCCCCAAGCTCAACACAAAAACAGTTAGCGACCGGCCGAAGTGCCAAAAAAACATGCAACAAATGGGATGAATATTTCCAGCTCTGTGCAGTGTGGTGTCGTCCGTCTCTCTCCTTTTTTTGGGTGCAATCACCTTGAAATCCTTGAACCACTCGGATTCCATAGAAATCCAGGTCTGACTTAAGATGCTGCGGCAGGCGGGCAACGTGTCGGCGCACACCACGCACCTGGTCGGCAGCGCTTTGAGCGACTCGTGCCCCTGAATATCTGAGCTTCGACTTGTGCGTGTTGGGGACCTCATGTCCATCTGCCTCCAGGGGTTGCATTAGGGTAGGACCTCGATTGGGGATTTCGCGCGGCATGTCGCGGGTTTCGCTGGAGGGCCTTGCCAGGTACTACTCCTTTGCTGCGGGAGTCTGCGGCTTGGCCTCGGGCCCAGAGTCTGCTCCTTCTCCCCTCTTCTGGGCTTGAATGCTGATCCCGAACTGCCAATTTTGCTCCAAAAGCCTGGGTCCTAAAGCACGTCCTCTGGCCAGCGTAGCCCAGAGCATCCCAGAGGCGGGTCCGCTCCATGGCCTGGCCAACCAGGCCCTTGTGCACTAAGTTGTCCCTCGTAGGCGTGGACGAAAACTTTTTGCAGGTTTGGATTGATGGGGATTTGTAGGTCTGTGGTGGGGATTGTAGGGTAGGTGGTCAGGTTTCTTGCGTGAAGCTCTGCTCCACGCGCTCAGCCGCACTGACAGCAGCACGTCGCCTGGAAGCCCCTGCTCTTGTCTGCCGTTCTGACCAGGAGTGCCTTCGCTGGCTGAAGAACACGCATGCGACGCTGAAAGGACCCGAAGCCTCAAACTCCAACAGCGTTACAGCGCCTCCTGTCCCTGGGCGCCAGTTGCTATAGCGCTTCGCTCTTTTTGCAGAATCCCAGCTACCATGTGCAAGTGTAGATGGGACGTTTCAGCTTCGAGGGGCGCTACCCTCTCTAAACCCTAGACCCTAGACCCTAGACCCCAAACCGAAGGACAGGAGCCAACAGTGGAGCTGTTGACTGACTTTGCCAAGGATGCCTCCTCAGAATGGACCGCCACATAAAGGTCTTGGCTCTAAGCCTCGAACCCCCCTGCGAAGCTTCTTACATGCTACCCTAAAATCCCTAAACCCTTAACCCTAACCCTGAAACCTTTACTGCCCGAGACCCTGAATCCTGAACCCGAAACTCCATGAGGGTTTTGGGGTGCGAATTCCAGGTTAAGCTTCAAGGAAGCTCCCCCCCAGTTTCGGCCTAAACCCTAAACCCTACACCCAAAACCGAAAAACCCAATCCTGCGTGTTTTTCCGAGGAAACCCTGGCCTCGGGGAAGGTGATCCCTGGCTTCGGCCACGGTGTGCTGCGCAATACCGACCCGTGCTGCGCCTGAAAGTTTTTTTTTGTTTTTAAGGGTCTTTGGGGAGGTTTAGGTTGGGACGTTCCAGTTCCCCCGTATACTAAGAGTCCTTAATAGGGACTATAGTACAGCCTACTATAATCCCCCTTAAGGTATAAGGGGAACATCCCATGGTTTAGGTTTTAGGATTTGAGGGTGGTCGCGGACTTAAGGGCTTGCGGTTTTTGCAGCAAGGGCTGCTGGCTGCTTCAAAGGTTCTCCGGCATGTTCGGGCAAAGCTCGGCTCAGACCACGCTGCGAGCGTTTTTTTTTCTCATCCCGAGTTAGCATTAAACAGGCACGTTAGAGTCCCATGGTTGAATGCGGGTGCTCGAGCCATGACTCATCATTTCATTGAGGCAGCTGTGCTATGTTGCGCTCAGCAACGCACGGCAATGAACTCACTAAGATGCGAGGCAGCCTCGTGGTCAAGTTCTGCCCCTAAGCCAGTCCATCCGCGTGGAAGGTAGTGATAGGTCGTGATGATGCCACGATGAGCAAACACGGTGGCCTCCCCACAGGATGTAGCTCTGTCAGGAAGACGAGCAAGAAGGGTAACCCTAAACCCTAAACATCGCGCACAGTCGTACCCAAAGAGCCCAATACCCCTTAATTAAGGAATATTCCTTAAATCATACTAAGGATCCCTTTACAGTTTAAGGCATAATCCTCAATTGAGGGGCATTGGGTAGCACAACTGCAGAGTCGAGGCGCTACACGATCCAGCGCCAGTTCGTCCAGGCTGCGCCAGGGGGGGGGGAGTCGTGAGTGAGTTATCGTTCACATTACTTCTAGTGTTACACTTACCACGACTACTTTCCTATGCCTTTCTCATTCATAAAAGCGAAATCCGTCACTGCTACCATTGGGTTCAGCGAGGCAGACCGACTTCGGTTGCACGCCACTGGCAGGAGAACTTCCCTGACGATCCCCTGGCGAAGCTCGCAGAGGTCTGCTTCCAGGCCCAACGAGAATGGGGTTTAAGGCTTCGACTTTCCAGGGACCCATTGCTGCTACCGCATGCTGTATGTGAATGATTGGGTGTGTAAGTTGATCTTGGATTATCCTTCTATGCTCAAAGATGCGAATAGTACTCGCCGTGAAACATATCTGAACAACATAGGCTCTTTCAGGCAGCTTGACATGAATCATAAGACTTGTAAAGAGTCTCCATCTCAACAAACAGCTGGTAATCTCCCCAACGAGGTGAGATGCATGAGGGCTTCTGCATCCGAAGTCAGTTTACTGGAGCATCCCCAGCTTTCTTTAGCAGCCAGCAGTGGGAATATTCTGCGCCTTGTGAAGGTGATGCGAAGCATGAGTGAGGTTATAGAGGTGAAGCAGGTGAATGTGAAGCTCAAGCCCTCGGCCCCGGGAGAGTAGCCCGAAGCCCCAATTTCGCCAGTCGGCTTGCTGAGCTCCACGCCTGAGCGAAAGCAGCACTGGAACCGCCTTCCCAAAAGGGCGGCATACATGACATACATATATACATATACACATACATATACATATACATGTACATGTACATATATATATATATACTCGCACGCGCGTGAGTGTGTAGATGTATATGAGGATCTCGATGAACATGTATACGCGCAAACATATACGTAGGTATGGAGGTACGTGGGTATGCAGGTACGTATGTACTGTGTATGTGCATACGTATATGTATATACCAGCAGGCCATCCCGCCGGTGCTGGAGGCCACTGGCAAGGTGAAGATTCTTGGCTGCCGGTGGTTCGGGGAACTACAGAAGGGCCTGTGCAAGTCGATAGAGGAGGGAGGGTTTTGGGTTGGAGGGCCTGTGGGGGTTGTGGGGCTCGCTCTTGGGAATCGTTTGGGGTGCTTGCGTTGTTTTGGGTAGAGATGTGTGTAAAATGTCGTCGTCCATACTCGTTCCAAAGGAGCGTCAGAGACTCCGGGAAGGTCCCCCCAAATCCCAAAGCCCCCAAACCCCAAAACCCCAAACCATGAGCAGTGCAATCTTGGCCCCCCCCCCCCCCCGAGCCTCGAGCTGAAGAGTTTCTCACTTTGAGCGGGTCTGCCCAGGAACCCATGGCCAAACGTGGACGCCTTGTCGGGCACCTGCATGCCGAGCCCTAAGCGTTCAAGGGCTTGGGATTGAGGGTTTCGGGTTGGGAGGTTCCCCTTATCCTCACAGACCTTCATAGGGATTTTAGTAAGGGGGCATTACAATCCCTACTCAGGACTGCAGGGGGAACATCCCAAGCTTAGGGTAGCGCTGGGGGTTGCTGGGGGGGGCAACTCGGGGTTGGGGGGGTTGGGCCCGAACTCGAAGTGCCAAGAGAGAGCGGAGAGGCAGCACTACGGCTTGGACCAGGAGGACTACTACACCGCCCGGGGGGCCAAGATGCAACTCTTTGGGGTTTTAGGGGTTTCTGGTTCAGGGTTTTAGGGTTTAGGGCTTAGGGTTTAGGGTTTTTTTTGGGGGGGGTGGGGTTCTGAGGCGCAGTTCCGCAGTGCGTGAAAAGAGGCCGCGAGAAGGCTCGAGCCATCTGTGCCTCCCTGTGAGGCCTGGGACCTTCAAGCCTAGAAGCACACCCCAGGCAGAGCTATGAGAGTAAAAACGCCCATGCTCAAACCCTAAGTCAGAACCTAAACCCCACCCGCAAAACCGGGAACCCCCCCAAGGACAGAAGCTCCAAGACCACAAAGCCTTTTCCAAGGTGGTGTTCGCCGTCTCTCGTGCCCTGGGATGTACCTCCAACCTTGTGTGGCCGGGACCCTTGTTTGGGTTTTGGGTTCTAGGGTTCAGGTTTAGGGTATTTGTGGGAGGAAGAGTCCTTCTTCTAAATTCTAGACTAGGGTTGAGGGTTTTTGGTCTATTAGAATATTGGAAAGGGCCCGTCTCTAGAGAGCCCCAGCAGAGACCTAGAAAAGGCGCGAGAATGATTGAGTTCCGCCTCATCCCCGGCACCCACGATGCTCCTCCAAAACCATGTCTGCCTCAGCGCAAAATTTTCCCAACCGAGAAAGTGATTCCTTGCTCTAAGGTCGCGACTCATGGGGCTTCCCATCGAGAGGCTCCGGCTATGCTTGTCTAGATGGGCCCTAGGGATTTGTTGACCACTTTCGCTTAGTGGGCTCACGAGGACGGATCTAAGTTTGCGTTCGGGACAATTAGAAAGTTTGCAGAGCCTGCGTAGTTAAGGTAGTTCTGTCTGCGCAATTCCGGCCCACACCCCTTGCTCAGGGTTGCTCTTTCTGGCAGCACCGAGCCTGTTTGTGACTTTCCCTGAACCCCAAACCGTCCTCAGCTTACTTAGGCTTACTTACTCCCTTAAACATATGCCTTAAACCACAAGCTCTAAAGGGAACTTGACCATCGATGCAAGAACAGTGCTACAAGGCTGAGGATCAAACTTCCATGACGGCGATGCATGCTGCAGCTCTGGGTGTCAGCACCCACTTGGGATTTTGCGGAAGTAGGGGACCCCCCAATAAGGAGCCCCAAATCGTGGGATCCCCTTACAACTAAGGACCCCCGATAAGGTACCCCTAGTTTCGGGAACCCCCAGATTCGTGTTGATTGGCCGCAAGGTGATTCGGAAGAGGTAGTCTGAAATATGCAGCGGATCGCTCTCGCCTTGAGCACAGCTACTCAAGGCATGCCCCGTTTCCATGGGTCGTTGTGCGGTAGGCCGAAGTCCGTCACCCTGGATTGGCTGAGCAAGAACGTGAAGTGAGAGCGCTAGACAAAAGCTGGCCAAGTCTTTTAAGGGGGGCGCGACAGGGACACCCCTCACTTGAGGTGTTTTGTAAGATGGCAGGGCGATGTCCAGAAGTGCAAACCTCCTTTTCTCACAGCACAACAATGTGGCAGTATGCGCCAAGACAACAGTATTTTGCAGCCTGTGCAAGCAGTGCGTGCCCGAGTGCTCTAGCTTAAGCTACCTGAGCCGACGTGCTCACAAAGGCTGCGATCCCAAATCAGCAGCTCATTGATTTTAAACCCATTCTTTGATTGTTCCAGCGGGAGCGCAGCAAGGAAGATAAAATGGAAGACCCCGTCAGGAAGCATCTGCTCGGAGTATCTAGGCTCGAAGGAGATTTGGTGGCATGCTTGGTTCTGCCGGCCGCACCGGATCAAACTACTTCGACTGAGTCACCCGATTGCGTGGCTCCTCGCAAAGGCGGCTGGGGGGAACACCAGGCTGACAGAAATCTCGACAAGCAGCATTCTCCTGAGAGCTTCCGCGATTTCTTCTCGCTCTTTGCCATTGTCGCGTGTTGTTGGGTGTTGTTGCATGTTGTTGCATGTTGTTGCACGCCTGACTGCCGTTTTCTTGATGCTGGACCTGACTGTGGACAAGGTCTGGATCTTGCATGTCTCGTTCTCTGAGTTTTTGTGTCAATCCTCGCTTCTCTGTCTTCTTTTTGGGTCCAGCGGCTTTCATGAGGCCATCTGAGATTCCGAGATGTCGTCCAGTAAGCCCCTGAGCCCACACCCGGGTTGATATCTGCTTGTTCCTTGATGTTCAAAGTGTATGACAGAAGTAGCCTCGTTCAGCTTTCTTTGCCAGCAGGCGCGAGGCAATGCGCCATGAACGCCCTTTCTGTAAAGCAAGTGTACGCCCAGTCTGGCAGTGCTGCCTTCTGTCAAGATGTTACCGCTGCCAACACCCAGTCAGCTTCTGGCGGTAGAGAGACACAAGGTACCCGACCTCAAGTGGCTTGTTCAAGCGCCAGGGTCTCATGCCCGCCTCTCCAAAACTAAACCCTAAACCCTAAACCCTAAACCCTAAACCCTAAACCCTAAACCCTAAACCCTAAACCCTAAACCCTAAACCCTAAACCCTAAACCTTAAACCCTAAACCCTAAACCCTACACCCTACACCCTAAACCCTAAACCCGAAACCCGAAACCCTAAACCCCCAACTTGAAAGGGGCCAGCCCAAGCCTTGGTGCAGGTCGGGGCTTGCATCAGATGGAGGAGGCGGAGGTGCCGACGTTTGCAAAAAAGTTGTTCTGATGTTTCGACATCTGCGGCCCAAACTCCCACATTGCTGATGCGACTTTCGGAATCACCCTAAACCCTAAACCCTAAACCCTAAACCCTAAACCCTAAACCCTAAACCCTAAACCCTAAACCCTAAACCCTCAACCCTAAACCCTAAACCCTAATCTGGCCAGGGCAGCCGAGCGGCGCCGCGCGTGGCAGTGCCCCGCGCGCCGAGCGGGCGGGGGTGCCCATCTTCAAGTCTGAGAAGGGCTGACACTGACAACTTTCCCGGTATTCTGGCTTTGGGCCGTAGCTTCAGCTTTTCGTATCCACTCTGCTACGGCCTGTGCGTGACCCCAGTGGATCCCTTAAGTATAACCTTCAAGGGAACATACAGCCTTCATGTCTTGAATCCCAAGGCCAGGAAATCAAAAAAAGGCCATTGGACCCTAAAACTGCAGCGCCAGAATGCCATCACAGGCCGCGACCCGCGGCAGGTCGCAGGCGGCCCTGCGTGGCCTTGACCTGAGCAAGTCTTACAGTGTCAGAGGAGATGATAGAGGTTTTAGGGTTTAGGGTTCAGGGTTCAGGGTTTAGGGCTTATAAGGAGGCAGGCCTACCGAAAGCTCCAAAACCCCAAGCCCCTCCAAAACCCATCCCAACCCGGTGACCCTGAGTGCTAGCAGCCCTTCTGAGCTCCGAAGCACGCGCCCAGGCAGCGAGCTCCCGTGCGCACGACGTTCCCTGGCAGGTGGCCTCTCCAGCCTTCAGGGCGGAGGGTGGCTGCAGCAATTTGTGGCGGAATCAAGTAAAGACTTTGGCAACAATCTGGAAAAGTGACTGGCGATCATCTTTTATGACGGAAGGGGTGTGATCTTCGCGTTAGTGCTGTGAGCTCGCAGCCACTTGTTTTGACGTTCCCGCATCTTGCAAAACCTCACCGGCGAGCCTCTGCAGTCGGGCCACAGCTGCGGCGCGCGTGCCCGCGCAGCGGCAGCCGGGCGACTGCCTGACGAGGCTATCGGGGAGGGTTTTGGGAGGGTTCCAGTGGTCAGCCAGGGTTCAGGTGACAGGATTTTTGGAACGCTTCTGCCGTCGATCTTGCAATCTTCACGTCCACTCGTGCTGCCCAGAGCCGCATCCGCGCGCTGCCTTGCATCAACATTCGGAAGGTGGTATGGGTGAAGACTTCTGTCGCAATTGTTGCAGATGTTGCAAGGAAATGAGTTGTACAGGCTCGATCAGGATCGAAGAAGCAGGCTGCCTCAAATCACTCCAATCTACAGGCATTCCTTTCACGAAGCTATGGGCTCATAAGAATCTACTGAACGTCTGCTGTTGTGACTTTGCAGGAGGACACAAGCTTCCCGATGGTTCCGCAGATCCATCCAGTCGCATGGGTGACTCAGCTCTCCAATTTGTAGGCCAAGCGAGTGCTGATGTACTTGTCTGCCTCAAAAAAACCAGAGCCAAACAGAATCGTGCTTAGAATCATGCTTGCGCCGGCAAGTCTAATGAAAAGGAAGTGTGGAGAACGACTTAGAATTCGTAGCGTCAGCGGGGCCAGCAGTAGAGATTACTGCCTAGTCATTCTTGTGATGCTTGACCAGGCGAATAGCTGGTGAAGAGCTTCTTCAGCAAATGAAGTAGGGTTTATATTACTGTTTTTGGTGAGTGTATATAAGGTCTTGTTTAGTATTGGTGAGTGTATGTACTGGGTGCCCCTTTGGGGATACAAGAAATATGAAACCCTACTTCATGTGCGCGCGCTCTGCTCCGAGGTCAGAGCGCTGCGGAAGGCGGCCAGTTCATCGGAAGGCGCCCAGAGTTTCCAGAGCTTCGCGCGAGAGCTCAGGGAAGATCTTTTCAGGGCTGCACCGGACCGGAGAAATCCTGGAAAGAATTTTCCAAGACCTTCACTATGCTAGGGGATCTTAAGCCCACTTCTGGGAAATTGTGGGAGGCATCCGGACAGCTGAGCTTCGGAAGCGCAGGCCCCTAAACCCTAAACCCTAAACCCTAAACCCTAAACCCTAAACCCTAAACCCTAAACCCTAAACCCTAAACCCTAAACCCTAAACCCTAAACCCTAAACCTAAACCCTAAACCTAACCCCTAAACCCTAAAAACCTAAACCCTAAACCCTAAAACCTAAACCTAAACCCCTAAACCCTAAAACCCTAAACCCTAACCCTAAACCCTAAACCCTAACCTAAACCTAAAACCCTAACCCTAAACCCAAACCTAAACCAAACCCTAAACCCTAAAACCTAACCCTACCTAACCCTTAAACCCTAACCCTAACCCTAAAAACCTAAACCCCTAAACCCTAAACCCTAAACCTAAACCTAAACCTAAAACCTAAACCCTAAACCCTAAACCCTAAACCCTAAACCCTAAACCCTAAACCCTAAACCCTAAACCCTAAACCCTAAACCCTCAACCCTAAACCCTAACACCATCAAACCCTAAACCCTAAACCCTAAACCCTAAACCCTAAACCCTAAACCCTAAACCCTAAACCTAAACCTAACCCCTAAACCCTAAACCCTAAAACAAACCCTAAACCCTAAACCCCTAAACCCTAAACCCTAAACCCTAAACCCTAAACCCTAAACCCTAAACCCTAAACCCTAACCCTAAACCCTAAACCCTAAACCCTAAACCCTAAACCCTAAACCCTAAACCCTAAACCCTAAACCCTAAACCCTAAACCCTAAACCCTAAGCCCTAAACCCTAAACCCTAAACCTGAGCATGGTGGCGACTGTGGGATTCCTGTGCAGGAGCCGCACCGATGGCACCGGTCGACCCACAGGCCAGTAGGTTCGGGTTCGGGAAGGTGCTCCGGTTCGGATTAGGGTTTCGGGTTTAGGGTTTAGGGTTTAGGGTTTAGGGCTTAGGGCTTAGGGTACTTCACAACATCGCTGTAAGGCTTCAATGTACCGTTTACCAGATTGCCACAGGTTGTTACTCTTCTTTGTCCTGCCGTGAGGGCTTTGGATCTGCTTCGTCGGTTCATTGTGCCAGAAAGGGAACTGTCCTTTTGGAAATCTCATTCAGTCTGTTATTTGCTTTCTTTTCTTTCTTTTCTTTCATTTCATTCTTTATTTCTTTCTTTTTTTCTTTCCTTCTTTCTTTACTTAATTTTTTTAATTTATTTTATTTTTTAAATACTTTATTTATTTCCTTCTGTCTTTCTTTCTTCCGGCTTCTGTGACTCTATCACCCTGGGTTTCTGGGTGTCTGCCGTCTTTCTGTGGCTTGTATCTGTTTCTTTGTGTCTTTGTGTCTCGGTGTCCCTCTCGCTTTCTCTCCCTCTCCTATCTGGTCGTGCTGTAGCGTGGTAGCTCCAAACCCTCCATGTCTTTGACGGTGCCAATTGTGTTCTCTAGATGCGTTCACCGGCGGCCGGAAGGAGCGGTCCACGCGCCCCTCGGATCCTGACCGGGCGAAGGCTGAGCGGACAAGTCTGTCTTACAAGGGCTGGGCATTCAAGACGCCCACGACAACAGGTAGTGCGCAAGGACTCTCTCCACAAGCCTCCCCTACCCCCTCCCCAACCCCCCCCCCCCCCCCCCCAAAAGAAAGGAAACAACAAAACAATGGAAGAGAAAGAAACCAAACCAAAACCAGGCCGAATTCACCTCAAGCCCGTGGCGAAAGTGAAAAGATGCAGTTTGAAGTGAAGAGCTTGGACGTAACGGCGTAAAGCCCTAAAACCTAAATCCTACACCCTAAACC